AACGCGAAGATTGGTAATAAAGGGAAAGTTAAAGTGGAAGCAAAGCCGATTGGCAAGGAAACATAAATTCTTATATATATATAATAATAATGAAAACGCAAGGAAAGGCATTACAAGATAAGAAAAAGATAACACCCAAGGACCGCTAATCTAGTCAGCGCCTGAGTTCGCATCCCCAGCACTAGGCGCCATTGGAGAAGGAGAGGGGGGAGCAGATGGCTCGGGCGCCCCACTTGTCCCGCGAGGCGTCTCCATCCCACCGATCACATACTCGGCCATCTCCGAGAGATCCCAAGTAAGGTCGGGGTGGTCCTTCTGCAACTTCCCCCGCAGGATTTCAATGCCGGTCAGAATGGCATTGGCGCACATGGACTTCCCAGTCTCTGACTCCATCAAGTTGTCCAAAGATTGCCGAAGTTCGGAAATTTCTTTCCGGGCCCTCTTCAAGGATTTCTCGCTCTCCTTGTGGGCGTCCTTCAGCCTCTTCTTCTCCTCCTTGAGGATGTCAATTTCACTGGCCTGGGCGCCAGCTTCCTGCGCCAGCGCATCCTTCTCGGCCTGCAGGGTGGCCAGTTTATTGCGCTCCTCGTCCAGGGCGCCTTGAAGACGTGACAACTCCATGGTGGCCGTCATCTGGGCGTCCTCACACTCCTTCGCAAACTGCTCGCGGCGTGCAGTTGCGTTCTCTAAATCCAACTTCAGCTGAGCAGCCGAAGAGGAAGCCTCGAGCGCCTCCCGTTTAGTCTCATTGAGGCGTCGGGCGCCTCTTTCAGCAAAAAGAAGGATCTGCAACCATTGGAAAAGGGTCAGCAAGTTGTGCAAAATAATAAGTGGGAAGGATCTGAAAATACAAGTACGAAGAGGCATACCTTAGCGCCCACTTGGGCCAATTCAGCAAAATGGTGATCACTGGTCACCTCGGACGGTACTTGCCAGGACTTGGCGGCCGCGATTGCCAAGCCCATGGCACACCCTCGGTCAACGGCGACCAAGGGGGAGCAGTTCATATTGACCCGTCCCACCTCGGCACGCCGTGGCCGGAAGATGGGGGGGCGCCCATCGGGGCCAACATAGCGCCCCTCTTCATTCAGATGAAGGCGGGCGTCCCCCGCCGTCTCTGCCTCCACGTCCACCTCATCGTAGGCGTCCTCTTCGCAGGCGTCCTCCTCGCCCACCTTCTTCTTTCCTCGGTCGGCCTTCTTGCTGGCCGAGGCCAAGGGGGAACCCGCCCTCTTCCCCTTGCGGAGCAAAGGCTCTTCTTCTTCTTCTTCTTCTTCGGCGGAGTTGACCTCCTTCTCCGCAGGGTTAAAGTTAGGCGCCCCCTCGCCTTCCTCCGGCGCGGACGACGCCACGCTCGCTGTGTGCGCCCGAGCGGTGCCACCCTTAACTACTCTCTTCTTCCTTTTCTTAGGGCCAGCAGTTGGCGCCTCTTGTTGGGTGGGCGCCTCTTGATGAGCAGGCGCCTCTTGTGACGAAGCCGCTGCCGCGGCCGCCTCCGCCGCCATGCTCGCCAGCCTACTCTTCATTAGCTTGGCGATGCTTGAGTAGTCCGCCCCTGCATATGACGGATAAAAGTTAGTCCATCACACAGACAGGGAAGCGAAGAAATAAAACACCTAGACGCCTACACACCATCGTTATAATACGCCTCAATAATAGGCGGGCGGTTTTCGGAGGGGCGCAAGTCAACGGGTTCCCCTCGCAAATTAAGGGGGCGTCTGCCTTTTCAGACGCCGTCAAAACCACTGGCGCGTTAAAGGCCTCGACTCTACCCAACTCCCATTTCCTCATAAAGGCGCCCCCACTTGCAAAAAAGGAGTCGCGATAGGCCTTCACGAAGAAAAAACCGTTGAACCAGCTTCGGTTCAACTTTGGACACTTCTTCACAAAATGATAGGGGCGCTTCTTCCGTTTTTGGAGGGACAAGCAATTGTCGAGGGGTACCATTTTGAAGAAGTATCTGAACAAGTTGAAGGTGGGCTCCACGTTATGCTCCCGGCACCTCAACTTGAACAGTATAACAACCGTGATAACTGAGGGAGATAGGCGCCCGAGTGGACAGGCGCAGGTTGTCAGGATTCCCTCCATGACCGAGTCAAGGGGAAACTGTAGCCCGAAGCGGAAATACTCTTGATAAATCCCAATCCACTTCGGACCACAGACGCCCACCCGGGACAGAGGCGATGGGGGCGCATACCACCAATCTCTGGGAAGCTGGAGGCTGGTCACCAACTCGTGAACACGTTCCAAAGTCACGGTTGACGTGTGGTTTGGGCCGGCCACCTCGAACGGTAAGTCAGACGTCTCGGTGGGCAGATGATCGGGAGGAAAACACTTCTCCCACGTGGTGATCTTGTAGGACCCATCGGCAGGCAAGAAACCAGGCGCCGACGAACTTGATGGCCCCGCAGTCGATGATGGTCCGCCGGATGCTGAAGTAGGCGCCCGCTCTAAACCAATAAATGACCCAGACGCAACGCGGGCACGGGGTAAGTGACGCCCCTACCCTAGGTGACTAGAATAAACTCAACGAAATCGACGAAGGGAAAAGGACAACTTACCACGTTGAACTGGGCGCCTTGTCTCACCACCATCGCCAGAGGCGCCCGCGTTCGAGGCGCCGGGGGCAGAGGTCTTGTCTTGTTGTGGAGAAGACATCTTGGACGAAAGTGATGTGTTGGAAGCGAAGAACAAACAAGAAAAGAGGGCAGAGGTCAGAGCGGAGGCTAGAGAGAAGTCAGAGCAAAAGTCTAGAGAGAGGTCAAATGGAAGAAAGTGACAGCATCACAAGGGAGGAGGAGTATTTAAAGGAAAAAGAGGACTCACCCGCCATCTGACACGTGTCAGTCATGCCGAAGGATCCCTTCCGCTCCCCCCACCTTTTGGTCGTTTCGCGAGCCACAAAATCTCAGGCGGACCTTTGAGCTTCCCCCACCCTTTCCTTTTCGGGGAAATTTCTCAACTCCCAAATTTCGAATTTCGAATTTCGAATTTCGAATTTTCTTTTCTCAAAATTTCCCCGACAAGCAAAGCGTCGGTGAGGGGGGCATAAGGGATAAGGACACGCGTCAAGAACGACACCATGAAGCGCCCGAAAGGAAGGGTTAATTAGAAAAGGCGCCCCATTTGGAAAAAGGCGCCTCAGCAGGCAAGAGGCACAGAAGCACATGAAAGAGCATTTGACAAGGGGCACAACCAAAGGTGGGACGCCTGCCCGCAGAAGAGGAGAGGCAAACGCACCCCGTAGAACCAAGAAAGAAGTGACAACGCAATGCATGCGCCTGGTGACAAGCGCCCTGTGGCTAAGAGAAGGCCGGATTACAACTAGAGAGTCAGTCAGGCGCTCGAAGGCGAAGCCACGAGCACCTAACTGGGGGGGGCAATTGTTGGGGGTATTACCCAGCAAGCTAGGAGATTGGGCTCCCAAAGGAGGAGTTGGGGGGCAAAGCCCAAAAGGGTAAGAATCAATACCCACTAGTGGCCTTTGGGCCCAAACAAAGAGAAGGACCTCAAGAGTAAAGCACCAAAAGCCAGGTGGCGGCCAACCGGCTGGTGGACCACAGCCTGCGGGCGCCTGTCGTGTGTCAGGTGTCAGGAGTCTGACAGGGCGGTTAGCTGTCTCACAGAGCACCAAAAGCCAGGTGGCGGCCAACTGGCTGGTGGACCACGGCCTGCGGGCGCCTGTCGTGTGTCAGGAGCCTGACAGAGCTGTGGGATGTCAGTCAGGTGTCAGGAGTCTGACAGGGCGGTTAGCTGTCTGGTGGCGCAGAGCATTAAATGAGAATGGTGACGTGGCGGAGATCAGCCTCGGGTTCGGTGAGTATAAATAGAGGCAGTCGACAGCATTTACGGAGGTGGGCTTCTCTCACTAAACTATTCCTCGACACTTATCTCTCTAGAAAAGGGCACTGACTTGAGCTTCGGAGTGCTAACGGGTCGGCCAAGGCCCTTAGGCGCTTGTGGGTGCAGGTTCCGGGCGCCTGAGTGACGGATAGGTGGAAAAGTGGAGGATAAGCGTTCGGAGGTATCTAGGCTCAAACAAAGCACAATGTAGATTTCGGAACAGTCTTCAAAGGACTACCCTGTAAAAGCACAATCTATAGTCAAGACAAATTACAACATAGCATTTGCGAAAGGAAACCTTAAGTATCAAATGGTTATATAGCCAGAAAGTATCCATTGATTCCGAACACTCAAACTTTGGATATCCCTACCGGTTGGCAGTTGCTGCTTAGTTAAAGCACTAACACCCCAGCACAATAAGTCAGTTAAACCAAAAAGGTGAATTGCTCACAACATTAGTTGTGAGTATGTACTCACACGACCGGATTGATGGCCACGCAGGGAGATCCAAGGGCTAAGATGAAGGGGCTCAGATTGTAAGGGGAAGGGAGAAAGGTTTGTGGCTCGACTAAACCAAGCCAGTCAGTGACCCATTTTGACCCATTTTGGCTTGGATTTGTGTGTTTCTTGATCTATTATACGCTAGGTTGTGCTCGTGTGTCATATTTCAGGTCCTAGCAGGTAAAAAGAAGGTTGGACGCAAGTTTCGGGTCATTTGGAGATTGTTTTGCAATTTGGGGGACAACTAGAGGTGACACACGGGCATGCCTCATAAAACACGACCAAGTTTCATCAGTCGCTCCTAGTATTTCAACTGTCGAACAAATTTGTGAAGAAATAGGAAAACACTGACATTGAAAAACACAACTGTGTTTCTTATGTCGAGAAAGATTGCTGAAAAATTGCAGCCCAAAAATACCAAAAATTTGACACTTTACCCTTTTTTTTCTCCCAAAGGTATCCCAAAAGAGAATGACATTTTCCCATTGTAGATGATCTTATAAAATAATAAAACAATGAATATTAATACTAAATTACCTGAAAAAATAACAAATTCGCTCCAGATAGTCCCTCCAAGTCCAAACAAATCCCCTAACTCTTGCTCATTTACCAAAACAGACCCCTAGCCCTGACAATTACGGAATTACCCCCTCACCCGCTCTTCCCTCTTCCCCTCCTTTCCTTCTTTGCAATTTCCCCCTTCCCTTTTCTCTTCTGTGGGTAGGTGCCTCTGCCCGCTTCTGTCACTCACCCGCTCTCTTTTTCCATCTCACTCTTCCCTACCCCTAGATTTTGTCGCCGATCGCTTCCCCTCTCCTCCGCCGTCTTCCGCCCCCGGCCGCCGGGAATCGTCTCCGGTATTCCCCCTCCAACTCAACACAACAACCTCTCTCCACATTCCTGTAGAAATTTATTGAACCGGAGCAAGTAAGTCGCTCCTCTGTTTCTTCTACTCATTGTTTCTGTGTTTGTGCTCGCGCGAGAGGAAGGAAGAGGGGTATTAGCTGGTTTATGCATGTGAATCCGATTGCTGGATTTTCTCTCCATGGGGCACAAGAAGCGCGCTGCCGCTCCTCGCTCCAAGCACCAGCCCGTGGCGGCTGCGGCGCCGGCAGATGAAGCTGAGGTCTGTCCCGATCCCAACAACAACCTGTCGATTGTGAAGATCGAGCCGGCCCTAGGTTCGCTCGAGCTCGACGGAGCCGGAGCCGGAGCCGGCTCAATCAAGCTGGAATGCGAGCGAGCCCTAACGTCGCTGCGGCGGGGGAACCACACCAAGGCGCTGCGGCTCATGAAGGAGTCGTGTTCTCGCCACGGAGACTACTCCCCGCACTCCGCTCTAATCTACCGGGTCCAAGGCACGGTTTGTATGAAGGTGGCTTCGATAATTGACGACCCTAATGCCAAACAGCGGCATTTGAGGAACGCCATCGATTCTGCCCGCAAGGCTGTGGAGTTGTCTCCCAGCTCGATTGAGTTCTCCCACTTCTATGCTAATTTGCTCTACGAGGTCGCTAATGACGGGAAGGAGTACGAGGAGGTGATGAGGGAGTGTGATAGGGCTTTGGAGATACTGAATCCCGTTGATCCTGCCAAGGAGAGTTTGCAGGAAGAGAATCAGCTGAAGATCACCACGGCTGAGGCCAGGATTGCTCATGTGCAGGGTGAGCTGAGGAGCTTGAAACAGAAATCCAGCATTGCTTCGATTTCCACTTGGATGAAGAATTTAGGGACAGGGGAGGAGATTAGGTTGATTCCTATCCGACGTGCCACTGAGGACCCGATGGAAGTTAGGTTGGTGCAGACGAGGCGGCCTAATGAAATTAAGAAAGCTACCAAGACCCCGGAAGAGCGAAGGAAAGAGATTGAAGTTAGAGTTGCCGCTGCCAGACTCTTGCAGCAGAAATCGGACACTGGGTTGGGACAGAATAATGGGGAGAGGAGCAACGATAAGGGAGTTGAGTTATCTTCTGGAAGTGAAAAGAGAGGAGAAAGGAGAAAGTATGGGAGTAATGCAAGAAGGAATGGGTCAAACACAGAAAGGAAGGACTCTGTACGTTCATATTGGAACTCAATGAGGACAGACATGAAGAAGAATCTGTTGAAAATTAGAGTCGATGATTTGAAGGGTTATTTTGGTTCTTCCAAGGATGGATTAGCGAGTGTGGTCCTGAATGAGGCACTAACATTTGCAGAGGGGAGAACTGGGTGGAGGTTTTGGGGTTGTTGCAGATGCACCGACAAGTTCTCTACTCCAGAGAAACATATACATCATGTTGTGCAAGAGCACATGGGTAATCTTGTCCCCAAGATGCAGGCAATCTTGCCTCAAATTGTTGAAAATGAGTGGAGTGAGATGATTCTTAATTATTCTTGGAAACCGTTGGACATTTCTTCTGCAGCTAATTTGCTTGGGGATCAAGGGAAATGCCAGGAGCCAGAGCTTGTTCAGGACGTTTTCCTTGGAAACCATGATGGTGAGTGTGATGATTGCTTCAAGGATGCATGGGATTCTTCTCCAGAGAAGGAAAAGTTGAGGGATGGATGTAGTGACAACAGCAGTGGAGGAAAGGATACTGATAGAAGTGCAAGTGCTGAGTGTAGAGAATGCGATGACAACCAAAGACCTCTGGCATATTCTATTGGCAGCTGGCCTTTATCCGAGGACTCTGAGCGTGCAAAACTTCTTGAGAAAATTCATGCTGTATTTGTATCTCTTATCAGTCATAAGTATCTTGCCATGAGCCATCTTACCAAGGTGATGCAAATTACGATGGATGAGTTACAGACCCTTGCTTCTGGTCCCCAGTTTCTGAACCAAGGTTTAGACCAAACTCCCATGTTGATTTGCCTTCTCGGAGAATCCCAACTGAGAAAGATCCTCAAGTTCTTACAGGATCTGTCTCATGCTTGTGGTTTGGGCAGATATTCGGAGAAAGGTAGTGCAATGGATGATGCCAATGGCGATGCTCACGTATATGAGTCTAAAGAAGATCTTGTTCTTAGTGCTGATGGATCATATCTCTACTTGGACGAGAGTCTATTGCCTGCTGAATGTGCGCGGGAGAACGTTACCACGAGCTCTGGTAATCCTGAAAACTTGATTCCACCTGAATCCGATTCATTATTGTCATGGATATTTTCAGGTCCCTCTAGTAGTGACCAATTGCAATTATGGATGCGAACAAAGGAAGAAAAAATGCAACAAGGAATGGACATTGTTCAGACTCTTGAAAAGGAGTTTTACCAATTGCAAAACCTTTGTGAGAGGAAATGTGATCATTTAAGCTATGAGGAAGCCTTGCAAGGTGTTGAAGATTTCGTTCTTGAAGAAGCTAAGAAGAGAGATGATATGGCTCCGTCTGAAGTAGAAAGCTTTGATTACATTCTTAGGAGGAGGAGAGACGAGACCATTATTATTGTGAATGATGGTATGGTAAGTGGCAGAAGGTTCGAGTTAGAGGTTATATCAAGTGTCCTAAAGGAGGCAGAAACTTTGACAGTTAATCAATTTGGATATGAAGATAACTATGGTATGGCTTCTCAATTGTGCGATCTCGAATCTGGTGAAAATAGCGACGGCAGAAGCAAGGACTATATCCATCAAGTGGATTCTTGTGTTGAAGTTGCTATCCAGAGCCAGAAAGAGCAGTTATCTATTGAGGTCAATGTTCTGATTCTAGATGCACGCTAAATGAAAACTGAATTTTTTTTTTTGGTGATTGTATTCTCTTGTGACTTTGGCTTTCTATACTGCAGCTAAGCAAAATAGACGGCCGTATCATGAGAATTGTGACAGGGATGCATCATTTAGAACTCAAACTTGAGCCCGTTTCTGCATGTGACTATCAGTCAATACTGTTGCCTCTTGTGAAATCTTATTTGAGGGTATGTAATCTAAATTTATTTACTAGTGTCTGCTGCAATCTGTAGATAGACTTTGTTATATTTGACCTTGTCACATCTCTTAATAGGCTCATTTAGAGGATCTAGCTGAGAAAGATGCCACAGAAAAATCTGATGCAGCCAGAGAAGCATTTTTAGCGGAGCTTGCTCTAGATTCTAAAAAAGCTGCCCGAGGAGGTAGTGATACTTCAAGGAACCTACAGGAGAAAAAAGACAGGAAAAAGAACAAAGAGTTGAAGAAAAAGGATTCTAAGGTCTGAAGTTAACATTTGGTGATCTTGTAAGTCCTTAAAACGGGAGATGTAATATTAAATGCTTACCTATGTTTTCTCTATGATTGCAGGCTTCTTTTGGCAATGAGCTGCCATTGCTTCATGATGAAACAACTGAGCAGGAGTAAGTCTTGTTCCCGACTGAGCTTTGCAATCATCTTTCCTGTTATTAGTGCCATTCACTTCATGTTGTCATTGTATGATTCTATATGTGGCTGACGATGGTACTCTCTTTATCGTGTACTTTTTCTTCGTGGTTGCAGCTCCTTTCCATTCTCGCCGGAGGATGATCCAGATTGTGAAATTCTTCATCCTGCAAATGGTGTAGACCTGAGACAGCAGGAGGAAGAATTTCGACGCAAAATTGAGCTCGAGGAGGAGGAAAGAAAGCTGGAAGAGACTCTGGAGTTCCAAAGGAGAATTGAGAATGAGGCCAAACTGAAGCACTTGGCCGAGCAGCAACATAAACGAGCTTCTAAGACATTTCCAGATAACCTTACTGAGACTCAACTTGATGTCTCCATGGAGAAAGCAGTTATTAATGGCCGCGATTCCTTGGTAAGGGTTGTTGCTTTGCTTTGGCTGTGCTGTTTCTTGTAAATTAGTGATTCTAATTAATGCCAGCAATATCAATCTTAGTAGGACTTCTGTATGAATGAAGAACACCTCGTGAATTTTCAGTTTCAGGAGCAGTTAGGAGAGACAAATGGCTTATCTAGCAACGAAGTTGAACAATTGACGACTGGAAATGCTTCGGGCTTGCCGATTGAATCTTCTCCAATATCTGGTTCTGAAGTTCTTAGTCATGGGCATAGTGGTAAACTAAACCCAGTTTGGCACTATTTGCTTTCCGATTTAGTCTTTGGTACTCTAGTATTAAGTGAGTTGATCATCGTCTATATTTTTCAGGTCTCCCGAATGGAACTGCTAAAGAAAATGGTGTTCTAGTTTCGGAACGAAGGATGGGGAGGAGAGCTAGGCGGCAGAAATCCTCTTCCAGATCTGTTGATAGCAATTCTCTGCTTGCATCAGCTGAGAAAGAAAATACACCTGTTGTGAGTGGTATGTGCTATCAGCCTATGGATTTCTTTTGCCCAAAGGATTCTTTGAATGTTCAGTCGCATGGAATTAATACTACTAGTTGCCAGAATTTCTGGACCTGATGCAACTTGATCACATAAAAACGATCGGTTATTAATTTGCAAGAATGAGTCAGAAGAAGACATGTTCCTGATTCTGCTTCTATCTTTTTATCAAGAGACGACAAGAGCTGGCAAAAGTTGTCTGAAACTCTCCTATTGAATGTGTTAAGGACCTGAAAGCAAAACAAGTGGGGTTTGCTAACAAAAATATGAAGTGATAGAAAATCAGTATGCAGTTGTCAAGAAATGTTATAATCTAATATAACAGGTTGGAGAGGTTTAGTCTGGTACAAGAGATTGTTTTTTTCACATACAAGAACTAGACTCTTATGTACATAAACTCTTCTACTTGAAATCTAGGGGTTATTGCATGAAGAATACAATATGACCTTGGATGTAGTTGTCTAATGTGTTTTCAGTTGAAAATTTGGCCTAATTTCGTTTCTGCTTGTAACCAGTTAATCTGAATTCTGGAGATACGGGAACCAAGACGTTGAGACAATTGCAAGTGGAGGAAGATGACGAGGAAAGATTCCAGGAAGACATGAGAAAGGCTGTACGGCAAAGTCTGGGTAATGTAGATTATGCCTACTTAATGAACTGACTAGTATGATCCTTCTTATTCTATTCTGATGGCTGGATGTTGAGCTTTGACCGAGGCGAGTATATGAAAAAATATTGATTTTCTCGAATGTCTGCTTTGCTTATAACTTGTATATCTTCTGGTTACCATGGACATGCCAAGACCTATGGAGTTACATATCTTCATTTGTATCCTCTCAGATTTGAATCTTTAGGACCTTAAAAGTGTTCGTTATAGTAACTTGCTATTGTATGTTCACTAGGTTATCATTTAAAGTCTTTGTTATCTTGGGTGATGAAGTTAGTTTCAGTGGTTGTCAATCTGTTTAGTGAAACATATTGCATCCAATTCGGTATTAAGTTGCTATTTTGAGGATGGTAAAACTTTGGTCCCCTCATTTTACTTAACGCTGTGTGTTTTTCTGATTTTCTGTTTACGTCTCCTTAGAAGCTGCGATCGTGCCACTCGTCCTGGATTAATCAGATCACTCTAAATACATAAGTCGTTCTTATAATCCACAGCATTGCACCTAGAATCGAGGGTATCTCTATGGAAATGTTGCCATAAGAAGCTCCATATCCAAATAGGTTCATTGCCCTGTGTCTAAGTTACAAAACGTTGACCTGACCTTGTGAAAAGAAATGTAATTGCTTGCCTCTTTCTCTTAGTGGACAATCTCTGACATTTACATTTTGCATTTCTGCTGACTTTTAGATGACATCCAAGCTCACCAGCACATGCCTTCCATTCCAAACTTGAGAACGCCAGAAAGGACAACTTTGGAGGCCAAACATTCAGATGCCTTACGAAATGAGGTTGCAGTTGAACATGAGAATGGAACTGATGTATTTGGCACTGGCCTTCAGAATGATGTTGGTGAATACAACTGCTTTCTGAATGTAATTATACAGGTAACTTCGACATTCTTAAGCGTTCATCTCCCTTGCTTCATGATTTTGATCAATTAGGGTTTCATATTCAGTAGTCTGACATGTTTGTTTGTTGGTTCTCCTACAAGCTCAGTCCTTATGGCATTTAAGGCAGTTTCGATGTGAGTTCATGAGGAGATCAACATCAGAGCATGTTCACGTGGGAGACCCATGTGTTATTTGTGCATTGTATGATATTTTTTCCGCTCTAAGCCATGCATCTACGGATGTCCGAAGAGAGGCTGTTGCCCCTACATCTCTTAGGCTGGCTTTGAGCAACCTTTATCCAGATAGTCACTTCTTCCAGGAGGTAAAGTAGGAATGTCTGTTACCAAAGCTCTGTTGACTTGTATCTCACTTTGGTGACTTTGCACCTTTTCATCACAAAACTAGTTCATAAATAGCCATCGGTATCATAACCTAACGGTAATGTGGTGATAATTCTCAGGCTCAGATGAATGACGCATCTGAAGTTCTTGCTGTAATATTTGATTGCCTTCATCAAGCTTTTACATCGGGATCAAGCGTCTCTGATTCTGATTCAGTAGAAAGTAATTCTATGGGATCTTGGGATTGCACAAACAACAACTGTCTTGTCCATTCTATTTTCGGCATGGACGTATTTGAACGAATGAATTGCTACAGCTGTGGTTTGGAGTCCAGGCATCTGAAGTATACATCTTTCTTTCATAACATCAACGCCAGTGCTCTTAGAACAACCAAAGTATGCGTTACCAGTGAACAATTCCTATCCTATTCACTTTTTGCCATGGCTGTAGGTTTTAGCTCTGAGACTTCAGTAATGTACTTATGGATTTGATTTGTCCCGCAATTCAGGTGATGTGTGCTGACAGCTCCTTTGATGAGGTCTTAAATGTTGTAGAGATGAATCACCAGTTAACTTGTGATCATGAGGTTGGTGGTTGTGGAAAACCGAACTACATTCATCATATTCTATCAACTCCACCACATGTCTTTACTGCAGGTGAGTCTCAGGGTGGTTAGATTATACGATATTTTCCTGCTCAAGGATGAAACATCTATATAAATTCAAGAATTCAACGCCTCATTAATCTTCCATATGCAGTTTTGGGATGGCAAAATACGTGCGAAAGTGCTGAAGATATAGCAGCCACTTTGGCAACTTTAAGCACTGAGATTGATATCAGTGTCCTCTACCGTGGTTTGGATCCAAAGAATGTGCATACCTTGGTTTCAGTGGTATGTATTGCTGTTGAGTTTTAACTACTTTAGACTAACTAGGAGTAACGAACTGGTGTTTGTTATTGCGGACAACATTAACCTCCAGAAAGTGGTTGCAACTTGAACTCCATTAAACCTCTCAACATCTTCCAGGTCTGCTATTATGGACAACACTATCATTGCTTTGCATACAGTCATGATCATGGAAGGTGGATTATGTATGACGACAAAACTGTCAAGGTGGGTTCATAATGCGCTGTGTTACTTAATGCCCATTTAAATGCTTTTCTTTCACTGGATAGTGACACAATTGGCTTTTGATTTCTAGGTAATCGGTGACTGGGCAGATGTGCTTACCATGTGCGAGAGAGGGCGTTTACAACCTCAGGTTCTTTTCTATGAAGCTGTGAACTAGTAAAGCTAGGCATATTTTTTCCGGCTGGTGGAAGTTGTTAGTTATTGCCTGCACCTAGAAATGATGAAGCTTAATCCTACTATGGTTATATCTGGGTGCATTGGTGGAAGAGGCACTGTTAATAGCTGTGATACACCACCATGACTTTAACTCGAGTACAGTGCACACACGAACAGCAATCAATCCCCAGAGAAAAGGTTTCTATTTTCTAATGGGAAGCAAAGTTTTGATGGACTCAAATGGGGGGGAGAGAAGATGTGATATAAAACAATCACGAGATTTTGTAAACATAGCAAAGAGGTCCCTTTTAAGAGTAGAAGAAGTGAAACAACAGCCTCTCAGTTACGCTACTCAAGGGAGAACGCGAAGCAGTGTGTATCGAGGTGAGATATTCTTTTTTGACTTTTTCTTTAGACCAAACATGGAAAACCAGTTGATAGTAGAGAACCTGAGGAATGTAGTTTTTGTCAGTATAGACTGTAGAAGGATCAATGGGGTCATATCTTATATGTGGGGGAATCCATTCAGAATAAAGCAAAACAGTAAATTATATCTGGCGGTGAAAATGGAAGAAAGAGCAATAAGGGAGAGGGGGGTAAAAAGGAAGGAAATGGAGAGGTGAAAAGTGGAAGAGGAACGATTCTGCTGCCTGCTTATACAGTTTAGATTACCCGGAAGGGGGGCTCGGATTTTGTCTGTCGCCAGGGACCTTTGCATATAATTGGAAGTCAGGGAAGAATTTGCTGCGAATTGGTATCGGTTAGTTTTGTCTCTCTTATGTTGATGATCACGATGATTTTACGAACCTTGAATCTCTTGCAGAAATTTATGAAATCAGTTTTTGGCCCTTCTCCCCCTGTGTATTAGTTTTCTTTCCTGAGATAAGTTGGGAAGATGGTGGAGTTTCTGTGCCTGGGTTTGGCTCTACTTCTAGTTTCTACTGCTGTTACTGCTACCCTTTCGTTATCCTTCTCATTTCCTCTATTATGGTTCTGTTTTTCCTCCCTCTTGTTAGCATCGGTTTGCTGTTCAGTGAAACTTGTATGAAGCTTACATTGATATATTGGTGCAGAAATACCGAATTATTCGTAATGGTTTCATAATGAAGGGAATTATACAACACTTGGCAATTCCATTACTCGCATACATTCTAGCCATAAGACACAGAGCATTCTTCTTATGCATGGTAACACCAGGTAAAACCTCCATGTCCAAATCTTCACTCTTCGTTCCAACCGGCGTTTCCCAGTTGAAAGCATAAAGCAGGTTGGCCAAACAGAGCTCCACAGTCACGAGCCACATATTAATTCCTGGACACATCCTTCTCCAAGCTCCGAATGGTATCAGCGCAAAATGCCTGCCTTTCAGATCGATGGATGTATGCATGAATCGCTCCGGCTTGAACTCCTCTAGGTTCTCTCCCCAGGCTTCAGGATCTCTTCCGATTACCCAGGCATTGATATAAACCGTAGTTTTCGCCGGTATTTTGAACCCTTCTAAGTTGCAGTCTTGACTGGATTCCCTTGGAAGCAACAGTGGAGCTGCAGGTTGCAGTCTCATGGTTTCTTTGACGACAGCTTTAAGGTAGGGTAGTTGTTCAATATCTTCTTCTTTTACAAAGCCTGTCTTCTCTATAGCTTCTCGTACTTCTTCTTGAGATTTCCTCGATGCTGTTGGGTTCTTCATTAGGTACGTCATTGCCCATACTGTAGCTGCACTTGTGTCTGTTCCCGCTATAAATATGTCCTGCAAAATCAATTAAGCCCAAAAAAGAAAGTGAACATAATAACCATATATATGTTATATGTGCATACTTCTCCAGCATGTAAGAAAAGTAATTACCATGAGAATTGCTTTGATGTGGTCAAATGTGAGTTGGACTTTGTAGGGTTCTTCCTTAACCCCAAGAAGAACATCTAGAACGTCCTTATGCTCCGATTCTGCTCGTTTTGCGTCAAGATGTTGATCGATGATATCTTGGTAGAAAGTATCCAGCTCCTTACAATTCTTCTCGAGCCGACTCATCATACCTAGAAATCTATCGAGAAATCCCAAGAATGGAAAATGGTCAGAGAAAAAGAAGGCAGTAAACATGGGCTCAGATTCTCTAAGCATCATCTCGAGTTTGCTCCTTAGACCAGCTCCATGATTTCCCTCCAAACTCGTGCCGAAAGCGGTTTGATAAATAATTGTACTCGTCACGAACAACATGGATTCGGACAAGTCGAAAGGGTTGGAACCAGCGAAGATGTGGATATCCTCTCAATCATCCGAGAAACCTCTCCTTCTCTAATTGGAGGGAAGCTTTGAACCCTGTTCGAATTGAAGAGGTGGACGACACATATTTTTCTGATCTTCCTCCAGTAAGCATCATAGGAGGCAAATGATACATCCTGATGGTCGTAGGGCAAGTGATTTGGACCGGTGAGAGATGGTCTGCTGCAAAATACAAGGTCCTGAGTTTTCATGACTTCCTCAGCCATTCTGGCCGAGGAAACCACCAGAACTCGAGTGCATCCTAGTTTCAACGACATTAAACTTCCATATACCCGAGAGAGCTGCCATAGCGAGCGATGAAGAGCAGAGGAATCGATATCGAACAAGTTGCCTATCAACGGGAGACCTGGAGGGCCAGGTGGGAGATGAGAGCCTCGGGTTTGCCTGTGCTTTCGGTGAAGCAACACGAGGAGAACAATTATGATGGGAAGAGCTAGGATAAGGTAGAGAAGTTGTGATGCCATTGTTTGTTTCGAGAAAGCTTACGCGACAAAGGAAGTTGCTAAGCTAGCGGCGAGTCGAGAAAGAGGCCATGCATGGATCATGTATTTATAGCCCTCAATTCACAGAATGCATTTGGGATTGTATTTTTACAAATGGCATCAAATATCTCGTCATTTAAGCTGTAGATTTTTTACATCACATGCACATAACGCAGCACAGAATTGTCAGCATCGAGCCCGACGTAAGATATGATCAGCATCTTCATCATGGCGATTGTATTCATATTTGCCTCTTTCCCACCATCTCTGTCTCTAGATTGATATTTGATAGATAGATAGATATAGAGAAGACAGAAAGTGGGCCGTGAATATCCAGAGCTATTTGTGCAAAGTGGGCTGTGAACATTCAAAGCCACTTGTGCGAAAGAGCAATGAGAGGAGCGGATCAGGTCAGTAACTCTTATTGTGAGTAACCATCAGTAACCTGTTCACATTCGCATGACATCTGCATCCCCTCTCTCATGGAAAGTCTTTTATCTTTTCCCCTTTAATCTTTAACGGACGATTCGAAATTTAAAATTTTGTGCACAGATAAATCAGATTAAATGTGCTCTTTAAAATGATATTCATTTTGTTATATTTTTAGTACAAAAAAATTGAATAATTTTTTACCAATCATTACCATATGGTATGCTCATATTTAATACCATATGGTAAGAAAACGTACCATGATTGTATGAACATACCAATGTGGTAAGAAGGTTGAATACATGATAGTAGGAGTATACTAACTGTCATTTACGACTTTCATCATTGTTTACCATAAGTTACCACCCACATACCATAGTGGTAAAGTATGGTAATTTTTGGTCCAGTATTTTCTTCACCCAGAAATTTGTAGATCCAATAGATCATGATAAACTCGTTCCTTCTGAGCAAACGTTTTAAAAAATGACTTAAAAACGAAGAAGTTATCATATGGTATGTAGTTGGTAAAAAAAAGTTTCTTGAAATATATTGAAAATTGATCTCATTTTGTAGAGCACAATGAACTCGTTCCATGTGTGCAAAAAAAATTGAATTCCGAGTTAAAACGAAGAAGATTAGAGCCGATTATAAAAATTAGGGAAAATAAAATGTCTTTAATTGACAACCCTTAGATCTGGATTTTCTGGACTTACTTAATTCTAAGACCATCTCCATCCAATTGCTTATTGGGTGGAATCCCATGTGGCAATTGCTTTAAGCAATTGCAAGGATGTGGGACTTATTGCTTATTTAGCAAGATTTCTAAATAAGCAATCCTTCTTGCAATGCCACATAGACAATTGGACCTCACATTTATGCACTCAAAATCTTTTTTTTGTTCTCTCTCTTCTTTTCTACCCACTTTGAACACACAAATTGTTAAATTTGATGTAGTAGGTCCCATCAATTGCAATTGCTAACATATTGCAGGGATGCAGGTGGTTTGAAATGGTTGAAGTGAATAATTGCTAAAATTGCTAATGTGGCTGTAGGGTCCACTTATGAAATTGCTATCCTATTGCAGGGATGGAGATGGTCTAAAGATCCAGATTTAGTTACTCATAGGTTAGTAACCAATGATTACTCACCCTATCCTAAGCCCTAGGTGACAGCACCCGCCGAAGGAAAATGTGCATATAAGAAAACGAAAAAGGACACCATTAATAATCTTTGTTTTTTTCTTCTAAAAGGTTTTGGAAGTTAATGTAAGAGTCGTATTCCATCAAGACTGGGTGTAATCGATAAGCTAGCGTATAGAAGCATTTTGATGATTTTGGAGCGCAGAAGAGTTTTGGTGAACTAGAAGTGTTAAAGCATAAGTTTGTTAACCTTTAAAGCACAATTTCGACTATATTGGTCATTGGGAACATCGATAATCGATTATAGAGTAAGCAATCGATTATTAATAGTCAAATTTAGCTAATTAGTAACAGAAGGTTAAACAGTTAACAGAGTAATCTATTACGACTATCCTCACAATTAGGGCAAAAAATAATAGGCCTTTAGGAGTCGCAGGCATAACAAAAAATAATAAATTATTTAAGGCCTACACGATCCCTTGCATACCCTAGTTACAATTGTGACTTAGAATCTGTCATATACCACAATGGTACGTAAACGGGTTGTAATGGATTAATTATGGTTTAGATTTGACTAATTAGTTTACAACTACAAAAGTGCGTAGTGAGTTTGGTTTAAGTTTCTTAATGTGGTCATATACTCTCCAAACTAGACTAACAATCAATAAAATAAAATTTGTGTGCAAAAGGGCATTTGTGTAAATGTCCATGCTACTTTTTGGTTTGTGCAAAAAGCCAAAAACCGATAAACTACTTGGAATGGTAAGCAAACTAAAACAATTTATTTGACTTAGTGCACTAAAAAGACTTAATTACCTAATCATTTTAATTTCATGTTAATACATCAATGTGATGTACAAGAGAGAGGTTTAGAGAAAAGAACAAAGAAATCAAGAGTTATGACCAAATAAATCACATATTTTTCTCATATCATATTTCCAAATTTATTGTACGTATAATTTAAGTATTAATTAAAAATTATCTTAGTAAATTATGACAAAAAAGACTGATAATGTTAATTTTTAGGTTGGTATAATATTGATCATTTGGCCAAAATGAAATATTTAGAACTTATAATTGAAAAATAATTTCGAATAGATTGTAGTTCCATAATTGATATTGGATAGTATAATTTTTGCATAAAAATGGTTGGTGGAATTTTCTAATTTTTTGTATATTACCAAAATGATTATTGGATTGAAAACAATTAATGAGATGGTTGATGTTATTTTATTTGTACGTACAATTATCTCGATTCTAGTAGATTTATTTGAGTATGACCAAAATGAGTTAACACCAGTTGAACTGAATTCAAACACAACCAACCTAAAATTATTAAAAGTAGATTCGATTGCATTTAAACCCAACCCTAAGACTCACATAAGTAATGGAAATTGGTTCAGATTACTGAATAAGACTACCCATTCTCACTCCCAAACGGATTCCTCGAGCACACCATATAGATAAACAACAATAAAAGATTTACTTGTTAACATATGATAGTTATTCTGAGATTTTTTAATAAGACTTCCCATTCTGAGATTTTTTATATGGACTAGACTTGGATTGACAAAAAGTCCTCTCAATCCACCCGACAAAACATTCATTCATCTATATCAAGGATTGAAATACCGTATCGGAGGTCGTACCGAAAAAATCACCGATAGGGTATTTTATGCTAAAATCGTGGCGTATTCATGGTTCAACCGTATTATACCACTAAATTCAACCAACAAATTTTGCTTCCAGTAAGAAATTTTTCAAATTGAACCATCAGTAGAGTATATTATTTTAATCCTTGATCTATATCCCGACTTTACACTCGTTAGCGTGATTTGATGACTTTGACACTATAAATTGGAGGTATCAGTTCCCCCCTCTTATTTACCATTTACCAAGGCATGCAAATCCAAATTGAAACATACTTTGCAACTGACCACCTCATCCTTAAAAGTAAAACATATTCACTTGTGTATGACATTTGAGATTAACTTTTCCATTTCTAACCCTCAGTATACAAGTTGAAGAACCATTTGCCGAAGAGGTAAAACTCAGAATGAGATCAAGTGACTATGGAGGGTTATTTGTCTTACCCGATTAGATTTTAACACCTTTAAATTAATATTTATAGTTTTAATTGATTAAGATTTTTAATATCATTTTATCAAGCATTTAAAATTTTAATTAATTAAATAAACGGGCTTCCCACTTTTTACTTCAAACACCCTATATATTAATAAGATTATCAAACATACTCTTATGTTAAAGTTTACATTAAAAAATGGTCAACCACGATTGAACTGAGATTCCTACGACCCAACATCGGCAAAATTGGGGAGAAATGTCCGTTTTCCCTCTTCATTTATTTCTCTAGGTCTCGTTAAAGTGAAATTATTAGAGGTATTTGGTTATACAATTAAACAAAACAATTATAAACAAGGTGTCCCCTAAAGCAAGTTTCAACCGTAGTTGGCGGTTTTTGGGTACAAATTTTAACAGAAGGGCATGTTTGATATTTTTACCAAATATAGGGGCATGTTTGATGTAAAAAATTGTAGAGGCACATGTATAGGTGTCAAAACAGAACCCGACCTGACTAACCCGCCCCAACTAACCCGCCCGATCAACCCGACCTTCAACCCGACCGCAACCCGAATTGACTAAAAGTCAACAACCCATACCCGACCGACCCGCAACCCGACGAACCCGATTGACCCGAACCTGACTAACCTATAACCCGACCGACTCAACCCGAACTTCACCTAATCCACTTGAATAATTATTATATTATATAATACATAGTTTTTCAAAATTAAGTTTTCTATTCTAAACTTAGGTAAAATTATTTTTTCATCTCGTATAAGAAATTTAAAAAATATGAAATTCACTTGAGATTATGTATTTTAAGAAAATTACAAAAACTGAAACATGAATGTCACTGGAACACTAAGTTTTTTAACAAAATTTAAAAAGTAATTATGAAATATAAAATTTAATATTAACAATGAAAAATTAATAATTGAGATCATGGAAAATATTAACAAAATAATTAATTTTAAATTTTGATTAGTTTCACTATTCAATGAAGTTATTAATTAAATATAAATAAAGTAATTTATTTGGTAATTTGATACTTTTAAAATAAGAGGGAAATTTTGGTGTAGTCAACTTTCTGAAAGAGAAAGAAAAGGGAAATTTGGTCTTTTGAATTTTTTATATAAGAAACAAGGGGGAATTTTTGTGGTTTTGATTTGTGGAAAGAGAAAGAAGTGGAAAAGTTTTGTTCTTCTCGTCTCTCTCAAACGACTTTCATCTTCTCTCTGCTTCTCCTCTCTTCTATGTTATTTAATCTCTTGTAGTCTATTAACCTCCCCTTCTCCCATAGATAATCTAACTATCTTCTCCACTTTTTTCTTGATTCAATGACACCCATAATCCCCTCTCTTGTTGACGATTCAACAGAACCCCAAACCCTCACTGTTGACTACTGTATGTACGATGGAGAGTGAGGACAAGGTAGACGGAGGTTTCGAGCGACAACCGTGGTTGGTAGGCGGCGACGGAGGTTTTGAGCGACAGTTCGTAGTCGGCGAGAATCAAGCATCTTTGGAGCTGGATGCGAATACTATTGTCCAAGCTAGGTTTTGATTCGGGACTGCATGCAGAGCTTGGGGCAGATTGACAAATTGAGAAGAGAAGAGAAGAGAAGGCACCCTTTTTTGTTTGGCGGCAGCCGGCAGGGGCAGATTGACGAATTTGGATTTGGCCTCCGTCCATAGTAAGCATCCCTAATTGATTTTTTCTGTATTTATTTGTCAATTAAGTGGCTTTGGACACGTCTTTAACAAGAACTAAGAGGCTAAATTCTCGTTGGTGGGAATCTTTGGATTCGTGGGTTCTGATTTCTAGGCTCAATTGAACAAGAACAGAGAAGTGGAGGATGAGAAGAATTCGATGCAAGGGAGGATGGGCGGTGGTTTCTGGTGTTTTCGTTGTTCTAATGGTTTGCTATGAATGAACGAATAAATGGGTGCAGGGTACATTTTTGGGAATGAATGAAAGCTATGGTAGAGTAGATGGTGCCCTCAACTGATGGCAATATTGTTATTTAGCATCTTTTGTCATCAAATACCACATGCAAATATTGATTTAGCCAAACAAGATTATTTATCCCAACTTTCATAAAAATACTACACAAATACCACATCAACAACAAATGCGTTATTTCACCTTACAAATACCACAAAACCAAACAATTCATCCAAACGACCCCTGAAGTTATTTGGGCAATGAGTTATTTCGAAATAACTCATTTACCACTTTGCTTTTGCCAAATACCACACGTCACATACTAGATTTGCATGGTTATACTAAACGAGATACTTTAATCCTATTACTACTGAAATAATACTAAAATACCAAATAAACAATTAGTGGTATCTTTTGGTTGCAAATATTGATATCATCATTTCTATTAGCTAGTGTACTTTATCAATTACGATTAATTACATAACAATTTTCCAAGTCATACAAATTGACTAGTTTGGATGAAGAATTTTTCTCAAATCCCTCATTCTGCCGGATTTGGCACATTCACTTATGGAAAGGCGAGTAATTGTGAGTATGAGAAATTTCAAAATCTCTCAAATAAAGGATTTCAAAATAGTTGATGTTTCCATTGTTTCATTAAAAAGTTAAAAATTCCATTGTTATTTTCTTTTGATTATCAATTATATGAGTCCAATTTAGATTCAAAGTAAAAAGTTGGAGATGAGTCTATTCCGCCAAAAAGTAAAATTACTCGAAGCTAATTTGATTTATAGTAAATTGGGTTGGGAAAGAACCCAAACATTAGACATTTTTTTAACATGTCCCACCCTATCGTCCCTCGAAGACTGATTTTCTATTAAATTTACCAGAACATAAATTCATATAGTTTCACTGGTTCATGCAAGAAAGACACGTTGGAGTTGTTCTGTATCTAGGGAGTCTCATGTAGCTGATTAAATTTTCATACAGATTAATTATCCCGAAGTAATTCGTTCAAAGGATCACATCATCACAAATATTTAAAACATAATAAAATTTAAAACCAACAGTTATTACTGTGATACTTAATCAGTAATAATATTATTATCCATCACCCATAATACATAAAACTATTCGAAATGATTTCATAATAAACGGAACCGTATAAAACTCGACACCCCCGACCATTACTAGCAAACATACTTCTTAGCCACAAGCAAAAGAGCATTCTTCTTATGCATGGTAACACCAGGCAAAACCTCCATGTCCAAATCTTCACTCTTCGTTCCAACCGGCATTTCCCAGTTGAAAGCGTAAAGTAAATTAGCCAAAGAGAGCTCCACAGTCACGAGCCCCAAATTGATTCCAGGACACCTCCTCCTCCCAGCTCCGAATGGAATCAGCGCGAAATCTGAGCCTTTCATATCAATGGACTTTTCCACGAATCGCTCTGGCTTGAACTCCTCTGGATTCTCACCCCAGGCTTCAGGATCTCGCCCGATTGCCCAGGCATTAACATAAACCGTTGTTTTCGCGGGTATTTTGTACCCGCCTAATTCGCAATCTTGACTCGATTCCCTTGGAAGCAACAGTGGAGCTGGAGGTTGTAGTCTCATGGTTTCTTTGACAACAGCACTAAGGTAGGGTAGTCGTTCAATATCTTCTTCTTTGACAAAGCCTTTCTTCTCTATAGCTTCTCGTACTTCTTCTTGAGCTTTCCTCAATGCAATTGGGTTTTTCATTAGGTACGTCATTGCCCATACAACAGTAGCTGCACTTGTGTCTGTTCCCGCTATAAATATGTCCTGCAAAATCAATTAAGCCCAAAAAAAGAAAGTGAACACAATAACCATATATTTCACTATGTTATATGTGCATACTTCTCCAGCAAGTAAGAAAACTAGAAAAGTAAGAGAGAAGTCTCTTGTCACCTCTAGCGATAAAACACTTAGGGGTCGTTTGCATGAATCATTTATAAAATGAATCATTTGCTCAAATATAGACATTTAAGAAATGTGACATTTGCGAATGTAAATATTTACAAATGTATTATTTGTTTAACAATTTAGAAGAGTCATTCATAAATTGATCATTTGTATAATGTTACCATTTTACCCTTATATTTAATATTTCTTTATCTCGATTCCTATCCTCATAAAATTAACTATGAAACAAAATCATTTTGCAATTGACAGAACATATGATTAAGAGTCACGTATGACAATTTCTAATATTAAATAATATTTTTATGTTAAATTTCTTTATAAAAGCTAACGACTCCAGGAATCTCACATTCGGGCTATTACGACTTATTCTTGAAGGTGGAAACTCCAATGACACGAAGAGCTAGAGTCACGAGAAAATGATGTAGACGATATTATGGATGACCCCATCATCGCTTGTAAAAATTGACGGAAAGAAAAAAATAGGTGATAGACGAAAGAATGGTAGCGGAAATAAGTAATAGAATGCAAGGGCAAAAGTGAGTTCATGGAAAAGTGACAGGACACAATTGGAAAGTTTTGCTAAAATAACGAGTCATTCGAAATTGACTCAATATAGTCATTTGAGACTTTCGTATGAGCCAAATGACTCATGTAGTTTTTGTCAGCAAACGAGTCATTTGGTACCAAATGACCCAATTAAGTCATTTGGTAACAGATGACTCATTCAAATGACTCTAGCAAATGACCCCTTAATACATGCATCTTTACATTTATTCACTTATATTTGAGCTTATTCACGCCATATTGGCGTTATTCACGTAAGAGTGTTGATTATTCACGCAATCAATACTGTTTAGTCACGCAACTTGGTGTTTATTCACGTATATTGTATTTATTCAAGTCATTGTGAAAACAAATTTTAAACTTTGAAATATATAAAAATGGATGTAATTGTGTGTATTATGATTAATGCAACACATTTTTACAAATTAATTGTGAATCCAAATTTAATTTCATAAAATATACCAACACAAATTATTAGGGTAGAAAAAGTCTGATTTTCCATTTACGTGAGTAGCCATAGTATTATGTGAATAAACATCAAATGGTGTGAATGAACAAAAAAAATATGTAAATAAGTTGGCCTTAGATATTCTGTCACCTAACGTGACAATTAAACTTTTCCGAAAAGTAATTACCATGAGAATTGCTTTGATGTGGTCAAATGTGAGTTGGACTTTGTCGGGTTCTTCATTCATGACCCCAAGAAGAACATCCAAAACGTCCTTATGCTCCGATTCTACTCTTTTTGGGTCGAGATGTTGATCAATGAAATCTTGGTAGAAAGCATCCAGCTCCCTGCAGTTCTTCTCGAGCCGACCCATCATACCTGTAAACCTATCGAGAAATCCCAAGATTGGGAAACGGTCAGAGAAAAAAAAGCCAGTAAACATGGCCCCTGCTTCTCTAAGCATAAACTCAAGTTTACGCCTCAGATCACCTCCATGATTCCCCTCCGAACTCTTGCCGAAAGCGGTCCGACAAATAATTGTACTCGCCAGGGACAACATGGCTTCAGACAAGTTGAAAGGGTTGGAATCATGCGAGGATCTTGATATCCTCTCAATCATTTGAGAAACCTCGCCTTCTCTGATTGGTGAGAAGCTCTGAACCCTAGTCGAACTGAAGAGGTGGACGCCGCAAATTTTCCTGATCTCCCTCCAGTAAGCACCGTAGGGGGAAAATGATACGTCCCTACGGTCGTAGGAGAGATGGTTCGGGCCGGTAAGAATCGGTCTGCTACAAAACACAAGGTCCTGAGTTTTCATGACTTCCTCTGCCATTTTGGCTGAGGAAACCACGAGAACTTGAGTGCAACCTAGTTTCAATGACATCAAGGTGCCGTATTCCTGAGAGAGCTGCCACAACGAGCGATGTAGAGCAGAGAAATCGATATCGAACAGGTTGCCAATCAGGGGGAGACCTGGAGGGCCAGGTGGGAGACGAGAACTTGAGGTTTGCTTTTGCTTATGGCGAAGGAAGAGGAGGAGAACAATGGTGGGAAGAGCTAGGATAAGGTAGAGAAGTTGTGATGCCATTGCTTGTTTTTTTCGGGGGGGAAGCCGCCGGCGACAAAGGAAGTTGCTAAGATAGCTGTGAGTCGAGAAAGAGGTCATGCATGGATATATATTTATATAAGTTATAACCTTTTTTTTTTTTTGACAAAAGATAATTTTCATTAATCAAACTCAAAGACAGTTACATCCTGGCCAGAAGCCAGGCCTGAAAATCAAAGCTACGACTCGCAGTCGGGTACAAAGAAAGGGCCTTTCTAGCCACCAAATGGGCTACCCTATTTCTACGCCGACCTACAAATCTAACACTAAACCCTGAGCGACTTGCCAAGTGATGAATAATTTCTTCCAGAATAGCACCAATCCGACTATCACTAGCATCCGCCTGGTTGATTTTATCAATAATAACCTTAGCATCCCCCTCCAGACACACCTCCATGATTCCCCGATCCAGACACCAGCAAACAGCTTCTCGGATCATATAAGTTATAACCTCGTATCATTTAAGCTATAGTTTTTTTTTTAGTATTGATAGAGAGCCATAGATTTTGTGACACCAGCCCGCACTATAATTGTAACACCCACTTGACCACTTCCTCAATTACCCTCATTAATTAGATTCAATAAAGATAAACATAATCCTGCACTACTCTCTGTCTTTCACATACGAATACAAACGAGCCGATCCGATCCGAATTTTTATTTAGTTTGAGCTCGTCTCGTTTATAAAAATTTTAGCTCGAACTCGAATTTTGATAATCCAACTAAAGCTCAAACTCATTGAATAAAAATAATCTAACTGGAGCTCGACTTTGATAGGTAAATGCTTATATATTAACACAACTTGTCAAGTTGAGTACAAGCTCTGCTCAAAATGAGCTCGATTTGAAATCAATCTTGCTGAAAAATGTGTAAACATAAAAATTAAAATGATAAAAAAGAACACTAGAAACTAAAAATAACACCTAACTTTCATACACATCCGGTATTAACAAGATAATGTTCATGTTCAGAAGAGTAATTAATCATTCCACAAGCTCTAAACATGCCAACTCGCGAGCTTAGTTCAACAAGCCACCGACTCAAACTAGCTCAAGCGAGCTAGCTTATCAAGCTAAGCTTGGTTTTGCTTAAACTTGGCTCGTTTACTAACGCGCGAGTCGACTTGTTAAATAACAAGCTGAGTATCGAACAAAGTTTTCCCATTCAAACACCAAATTACTCGCGAGCAACTTAGCTCATTTTGCGGCACTACTCCCACATTCACCCTCCACCATCATAATTCATAACTTTCCTTTATTCCCCTTTTGAAGAGGGAAATGAGGGGATCAATTATAATGGGGCATCTAATTATCACCATTAGTGGGTTTCCTAGAGAGCTTTAATCTCTGGCATCTTACATAACTATTGTAAAATATTATCTCTATCATTCACCTCTAACCACAATGGAAGGAAGCATATAATTCCTCCTCCATTCTTTCTATTCCCATATGCCTCTTGTTGTTCAAATAAAATACTACCACCATAAGCTCAAGCCCTTGTTCCCCATCCCTCACAAGCCTTCCCAATCTCTATGGGAACAACAAACAACAATAGTACGTACGAACGTAGCTTCAATTCATCGCCGCTTTAATTTTGTCCCGCCGCTCCGACGACCGGCCGGATCTCTCTCATTCTCATGCGCTCAAGGGAAGGAAGGAGTTTAAGCTCGCATAAAAGGTAAGGAAAGGCGATCGCTCGCGTTAAAATCCATGTTTATACTATTAAATATGAGTTTGTATTATTATGGGAAATTAGCGACGAAATTACAAGCTTTTTCGTGACAGATGTGTGTTCGTCACTAAAGGCGGGTTAATCAGATTCAGTAACAGTTCTTGACGAGCTGTAGTGATTTATATAATTATGACACGGTGACTAAGGCCAAGTCCAATGCAAAACCCCAAATTTGGGGTCTTCATCCCCAAATTTGGGGATTGATCCCCATTTTTTCTTCTTTTGCTCCAATGCTTCAATCTCCATATTTGGGGATTTTCATTTTTCTAGATTTTTCATTTACTTAAAAATGTACTTATCGTAGCCTTAATATAATTTATTCATGTTAATATTTGTATAATTCGTCATCATTTTTAAATACAAATTTTTCGATAGAACTTTGTTAAATTCCGAGTCCTAATTTTTTTGGCAAAAAATTATGTACCTAATTTGGGTTTACCCACAACACTTGAAAATTATTGATCTAATTAAATCACTAACTAATTCCCTAATTAAACCCTCAATTAACCCCTAAAATCTTAAAAAGAAAAAGAAAAACCACATGGCGGGCTATGGTGAGTCTCCATATTTGGGGGATCCCCCATTTCCACCCCCAAATTTGGAGTTCCATTTGCAGGATCCTCCATTTTTGGAGGCTCAAACCTCCCCATTGGACCATCTCCTCCTTCATTTTTGCAGATTCCCCCATAAATGGGGTGCCCATTGGACTCAGCCTAAAAGAGCTGTAGCTTGAAAGGTTTAGAAAGGGGAATAATTCGTAATTGATTCAAAATACGTTATTAATAAATTACAAAGGTTAATGTAATTAATCTTTAATTTTATTAGTTACTGTACTATGAGTTTATTAATTACTTTAGTAATTGATAAAATGATTTTATTTAATTAATGAGGAATTAAATCAAGAATGCCATGGGAGGAGTGCTCGTACGGTTGGAATTAGTAAGAACTAATATGGAGGGACTATAACGAGGAGACAGAAATGAAGATTATTATGAGTATCGACCGGTTGTAGTATTTCAATGTATTACATGAGATATGAGATTATATTGATGGAGCCATGAATGAATTTAGGCAAAGTATTATAGACGGAAAATATATTCACCATTAATTTGGGGTAAAGTCAAGAGATTAATTCTATAATAAGAGGCCCTGATTTTATTCCTAATAAAGCATTAATGGGTTGCTTTGTGATGCAGCCCCATTTACCGAATTCTCCCATTTCCTTTGTCTCCCACTAATTTCCCACTATCAACACCACGCCACACATTATTGGCCAAAATTTGGCAGCAACCTTGGTTGCCGCCCCTAGCTGCTGCCAGTCCATATATGGCACCTAGTGATTGGGTGAAAATAAATCTTTTAATTCTTTAACTGGTAACCAAAATTGGAAGGAGCAGGGGACGGAATGGAGAAAACTTCCGTTATTTCCTTCTTCCAATAACAAGGTTGGAACAAGGGGGAGATGGAACTTATACATATTGCATTGTTTTTTTATTAACTTTTACATTTAAGTTTTCTCCCGTTAGTTTGTAATATCCCTTCTTAAAAACTTTATTTTTTATTAAATTATAAGTTGGCCACTAGATTTAAAAGTTATTTCAAGTTTATCACTAAAAATATTTTATTTCATTCATCGTCACTAAAATTAATTTAATCTTCAAGTTTGATAACTCCATTAACTTTATTAACTTTATTTGATGCTAAATTATTTCACATTTACCCAAAAAAATCGTTCTGCGACATAACTCTCCAGTTGCCTTGCTCGCTTGTTCCTCCCCCACTACTTTATTTCCATAGATTAGCGGAAGTAACTTCGTTGGAGGTATAGTATCACTACTCCAAGCGGTAACAACTCATTTGACAATATTATGTTCTGTTTTCTTATTCATGTTTGCGCTAGCTTTTACGTATTTGATTCTTGTAAAGTAACTGCTATTGAAGAATGATTTTGTTTGATTCTTTGTTAAGCTATTTGTTCATGTAAACCATTTCTATGCTTTCAATTTTTATATGAATATTGAGGAACTATTTTCGTTTAGGACTATTTTCCACATTTTATCGGCTGCTTAGATAGGGGTGATCATTCAACTTTTGTTGTTCAAGTATAATTAGCTCTTATCGTCTTATAAATTTGTTATTATGTTCTTTCTTCTAGGTACGGATATATAGGGGTCGTTTGCTTGATGGATTTGGGTCATGGATTTGGGACTCAAATCCTAAGCATGATGGATTTTAGCCAAGTCCATTGTTTGTTGTCAGGTGTTAAATCCGTGGGGTCCACGGATTTGTTCCCTTTTTTGGATCCAAATCCGTGGACCCCACAGACTTGTAAATCCCACATATTGGGGTGGGATTTGTAAATCCTTGATGGCTAGTTATATTTATAGCAAATCCATCATAATTATATCATCAAATCTATCATGCAAACAATAGACTCTTCAAATCCGTGATGGTACAAATCCCTCATAAATCCAAACGTTTTTTTGAGCCAAAACCCTCATTTTTTAAATTCAACAAGCAAACGACCCCATAGTATGAGTCATAAAACACAAGATGTGAATAATATGGCTGGGCAAAATGAAATGTCGGGTATAGGCATGAAGTTTAATGGAGATGACAATGGTTATGAATTTTATGTGTTCGTGTTTTGAACGATTTTTTTATACTAGACCTAATTTATTTACAATTAAGCTCCTAAAATTTATTTACAATTAGGCAACTATATTATTTGACAGCTGCTGCATGTTGAAGTTAATCCCAAAGTGTAAAAGTTAATTAAAAAGAAATTGCAATCAGTATATGTTCCATCTCCCATTTCTTGTTAATTGGAAGAAGGAAATAACGAAAGTTTTCTATGTTCCGTTCCCTGCTCCTTAAGTCCTTAGTCCTTCCAATTTAAGTTACCAGTTAAAGAATTAAAAGATTTATTTTCACCCAATCACTAGGTGCCACATGGGCTGGCAGCAGCTAGGGGCGGCAACCCAGGTTGCTGCCAAATTTTGCCCCACATTATTAGAATAATTAAAACACAAGTCTCCAAAAAAGCATGGTAAAGGAAACCGTACCAGAAGTCATACCGGATCCGTCTGTGGTATGGTATTTTATGGTACGACCGTGATTCAACCGTTGTGTACCGGTAAAATACCGTTTTTTTAATTAAAAAATATTTTTTTGTTAAAAAATCGTATCGACAGATTGAGTATACCGTTTCGGAGTAATATCGGAATAAAACCGGAATATACCGTCCACCTATAATAATTGTTAAATTTTTATAAAAATGTTAATGTTAGAA